TTTGTTAAGACGCCGTGAGTCTGTAAAGTGGTTTGAATCAGGACCAAGTGAGGACCAGATTAGGGTTTAACCAGCACTTGGTAAAATGACAGAAGCACATTGAGCTTTGACTAATATTACAGCATTATTATTATTTTTATACACCTACCATGAATAACACTTATTGGAAACTGGGATTCCTAACTTTTAAATCCGGAAAACATTTACATATGCTATAGAAATCTTATGCTCTCTCTCAATTTAAGTCAATGTATTTGTGTAAAGACCTCACAAAGTTGTGGATTTACCAACAACAGATCAGAGAATCCAGGACTGAGGCTGTAGATCCAGGACTGAGGCTGTAGATCCAGGACTGAGGCTGTAGATCCAGGACTGAGGCTGTAGACCCAGGACTGAGGCTGTAGATCCAGGACTGAGGCTGTAGATCCAGGACTGAGGCTGTAGATCCAGGACTGATGCTATAGATCCAGGACTGAGGCTGTAGACCCAGGCCCGAGGCTGTAGGTCCAGGACTGAGGCTGTAGACCCAGGACTGAGGCTGTAGACCCAGGACTTATGCTGTAGATCCAGGACTTATGCTGTAGATCCAGGACTGAGGCTGTAGATCCAGGACTGAGGCTGTAGACCCAGAACTGAGGCTGTAGATCCAGGACTGAGACTGTAGATCCAAGACTGAGGCTGTAGACCCAGGACTGAGGCTGTAGACCCAGGACTGAGGCTGTAGACCCAGGACTGAGACTTTAGGTAATCTGCCTTTTCAGATTAGTAAAAGTATCTCTTCAATCGATTGTTTTAAACCTGTATCTAGTGTAATTATAATTACTTTTACATTTGGTCTGAAAAATAACAATTCTTACTGAAACTAGAGCTGCACATTTCCTTGAACAACTCCTTGAAAAGCATCAGCGTCTCTGCGTGTCTGTGTGGAGGTGTCTCTTTGATCTGATCCTCATTAGCTGCAGACACATTGAGGCTGACGTACAGGAGCAGACGTCAGGGCTCTCACAGACGCCGCACACGTCTCAACTTAAAGCAGAAATATCACATGTTAAAACTATAAAGAGTCTGTGTACTTTGTAATGTCCTGGTTAGAGTGTAGTCATATCGCAAATTCAAAATATAGTCGGGGGGGAAAACGATCGTGCAAAATGTTTCCCACTTCAAAAGAGAAGAGAAGTCTGTCATTTCCATCTCTCCTTTAACTTTTCTTACTTTAAAGGCGCTAAACCCGTTTCTGCAATGTTTGAATGTTTAGCTCCGCCCCCAACTCGCTCACAGGCTTCTCATTTCCCCTACGCTCTCATAACACGGAGCCACCTAGTTTTATTTGCGATCTGATACGTATGCTAACATTAGCATTAGCGCTACTTAAGCTGTACAACAATCACTGATTAAATGGCACTAAAGCAACGCACTGCTAACACAATATATAAGTAAAAGAATACTGCTAGTTTTGCGTCCGAATGTATTAATTTAAACATTAGAATATAGTATAATATTTATTTATAATTTATTATACAGCTCCTCACAGCAGCAGTAGAACACTCCATTGACTTGAATGTAATTCTATCAATCATTTTTTCTTGATAACAGAACTCTCAAACCAATAATGACCGCAGCCCTTCGACAATGCAATCTCTGTTTGTAATTCAGGTGTGTAAAATACTGCCATTACTCCGCAAGTACAACGAGAGAAGCTAGAGGAGCTAGCCACGCTCAATAAACAAATACATATCTATCAATGGGGGCGACAGTAGCTCAGTTGGTAGAGCACTGGCCTTTGAGCCTGAAGGTTGTAGGTTCATGCCCACCACGGGACCTTCTCCACCGACTCCCATTGATGACTGCTGTCGTTGTGTCCTTGGGCAAGACACTTAACCCTGCATTGCCTGAAGCCCCCGCTGAAAGATCAAGGCCGTATTGTCACTGACAGAGCAGCCGTCCTCCGACCCAGAAATGGATTAAGGGGAAGAAGATGGATGGATGGATATCAATCAATCAACACCATTAAACGTTAATCGGACAGTACAGTATACATATACATCCTTAACACACATGCATGGACGATTTCAGAATTTGCTGTTATCGTTTTCATGACCAAATTACTATTTTAATGTGACAAAAAGTGATCGCGAAAAACCTGGAAGTTACCATTAACATGTAGTTCCAGGAAACTAGCTAGCTTAGCTGTTACCTGCTCCAGTCCTGCTCCAGTCCTGCTCCAGTCCTGCTCCAGTCCTGCTCCAGTCCTGCTCCAGTCCTGCTCCAGTCCTGCTCCAGTCCTGCCTCAGTCCTGCTCCAGTCCTGCTCCAGTCCTGCCTCAGTCCTGCTCCAGTCCTGCTCCAGTCCTGCCTCAGTCCTGCTCCAGTCCTGCTCCAGTCCTGCCTCAGTCCTGCCTCAGTCCTGCTCCAGTCCTGCTCCAGTCCTGCTCCAGTCCTGCTCCAGTCCTGCTCCAGTCCTGCCTCAGTCCTGCTCCAGTCCTGCTCCAGTCCTGCTCCAGTCCTGCTCCAGTCCTGCTCCAGTCCTGCTCCAGTCCTGCTCCAGTCCTGCTCCAGTCCTGTTCCAGTCCTGCCTGTTCCAGTCCTGCCTCAGTCCTGCTCCAGTCCTGCTCCAGTCCTGCTCCAGTCCTGCCTCAGTCCTGCCTCAGTCCTGCTCCAGTCCTGCCTCAGTCCTGCCTCAGTCCTGCTCCAGTCCTGCTCCAGTCCTGCTCCAGACCTGCCTCAGTCCTGCTCCAGTCCTGCTCCAGTCCTGCCTCAGTCCTGCTCCAGTCCTGCTCCAGTCCTGCCTCAGTCCTGCCTCAGTCCTGCCTCAGTCCTGCTCCAGTCCTGCTCCAGTCCTGCCTCAGTCCTGCTCCAGTCCTGCTCTAGTCCTGCTCCAGTCCTTCTCTAGTCCTGGTCTACACACACAGCACCACACAGAGGAGAATTGGAGTCAAAGATCAGGTCTGAACCACAATAGACCTGATTTACATAATAATGATTTTGCGTTGACTCCGGAGCAGAGACACACACACACGTCACACACACACAACACACACACGTCCCACACATGTCACACACACAACACACACACGTCCCACACATGTCACACACACACACAACACACACACGTCCCACACATGTCACACACACAACACACACATGTCACACACACAACACACACACACGAAACGAGACATTGCTCATTAATTAACACGCACACACACACACACAAAGTCCTGGTCTAGTAAAGGCTGGTCTTAACCTAGACTGTGTATAGATGGACAATGCTAACATATACTTTATACAGATCCCGGGTCCTGGGCCGGGTCCTGGGCCCAGTCCTGGCTTCAGTCTTGGCTCCAATCCTGGTCCAGTCCTGGGTAGTCCTAACATAGACTGTATTCAGATGGACAATGCTAGCATAGACATACAGATCCTGGGTCCTTGGTCCAGTCTTGGTTCTGTCCTGATTCCAGTCCTGGGTCCAATCCTGGGTCCAGTCCTGCGTCCAGTCCTGATCCAGACTGGACTGGACTGGACCACATCAGTTTTTCCAATGTGCTTTTTACTGCAAATGGCAAATAAATAAATGAATCTGACAGTAGTGGTCACAAGTCTGTCTCCATAAGCCACTTTTTGGAGTTATTTTTGAACAAAGACAATCAATAATAACACAATAAAATATGTATTAAAAAAAATCGGGATCAAAAAAACGTGAGAGTCAGGTGCTCTTCGAGGATCCGTGGGAAAAGAATGTAGAAATCAAAACGGAAAATGTCAGAGATATTTGTATATAATAATAAATCCCTGCCATAGAGCACATTAAGAAAACATACTGTATATAGTGAAAATATATATGAACGAGAGAGACTTAACATTGTATAATTCAGAATCATGGTGACTATATTTGAACACTTTAGAAGGAAGGAATCACAAAGCTGTCGATTCTCCCACACAGATTAGAGAAACGGACGGTTCAAACACAATGATAGAAAACGCATAGAGCCAGTGGTCCATAAGAGGCAGAGACCAAAGTCCATAAATGTGTCTGTCCTGGATCAGTACTGTCCTCGGACCTTCCTGCGTCGGCAAAAAACTGACAAAAATAAAACAATGGGAGAAAAGTGAGAGACCTCGGGGAGACCCACATTGAGAGAGGGATGGACCATGGACCAGTTCAAAAGCAGAACTCCAGGTTTTTGGGTGATTTTTTGCTCAGTGTGAATGAGGCTCAGTGTCTCTCTGCTGCCTCCAGTCCCATGTGCAGAGCCCTATACTGTATTCACTGCAGATATTATTAATATTCTCTGCTACAGTCGTGAGTTTCTCAGACGTATGTTTTTGTGGATCCCTGTGGCGTCGAGGCTCATTATTCCCAGTTTTCCTCTGATCTTTGAACGCGTCACATGTTTGTGTCAGCTCTATGTTTACTGTCATTTAAAGTCTGGCTCCAAATCCTGTCGTTTCATATTTTCTCCAATTCTTCTCTTTCTGCCATTTTCAATAATTGTTTGTTTTTGTTTGACAAGTTTCACTGTACGTTTTTGAAGATATATCCACATAGAAGTTCATGATGAGACCAGTCCCTGTGCTCCTCAAAGTCCCAGCAGGAGGCCGGTCCCTGTGCTCCTCAGAGTCCCTGCAGGAGACCGGTCCTTGTGCTCCTCAGAGTCCCAGCAGGAGGCCAGTCCCTGTGCTCCTCAGAGTCCCAGCAGGAGACCGGTCCCTGTGCTCCTCAGAGTCCCAGCAGGAGGCCAGTCCCTGTGCTCCTGAGTCCCAGCAGTAGGCCGGCCCCTGTGCTCCTCAGAGTCCCAGCAGGAGACCGGTCCCTGTGCTCCTGAGAGTCCCAGCAGGATGCCAGTCCCTGTGCCTCCCTTTTTGACGCCATTGAAGAAAACTATAGTCTATTACTGCCCTCTGGTGGTCACACTGAGAACTGACGTGTATTATTATTAACTATTATTATAAAGAGGGGGCAACGGTGGCTCAGTTGAGTATTCAAATGGTTGTGGGTTCGAAATGGACAAAAAAAGAGGTGAATTAATGTTTGATCCTTGTTTTTTAATTGCTCTTGAAGCGCTTTGAATTGCCTTGTACTGATTTTTTTTTTCTAATTATTGAGGTATAGTAAAATGGTTCCAATCTTTCAGTATACAGACAAAACTTAATTAGACAATAGACAGTACAACAACAATAACAAATAAACAAAATGGAAAAGATTGGAACAAATGATTGAATTAATTATTATTAATTTTCATTAAGGACACAATACAATACGGTCCATAGTTAAGAAAATATACAGTACATACAGTATAATGCTCATTAAAAAAGAAATATGTACAGAAATAAAACGGGAATGAACGCGCTTGCCTGTGACGTCACGCCGTAAGGAACCTGGCAGCGTGCGTGATGTGGCTAAGCTAACTAAGCTAACAGCGGAAAGATGAGACGCCAGTGGCCGAGAGCGGGTATTTAAGCTCCGGTAACGACGGCAGCACTCCGGGAGAGGCGCTGGATTCTCCCGGGGACCAGTGGAGCGAGCTGCCCGAGCTGTCAGCACCGATTCTGGGCGAGTTTGGACCCTGGTGAGTGTGGGACAGGACGGGACCAGAACAGCAGCAGGTGGGAACGACGTCTGTGGTTCAAATCAGACACAAATATGAGAAAAATATTATTTCTGCTGTGGATAATAATAATAATACAATCTTTATTTTATTTTTTTTATGACTGAGATATTTATTGTGTTTTATCATGGGGAAGGGGAGGGGATCGGGGGTAAAAAAAAAAAAAAAAAAAAAGAAATAAAAATACAATAATAATAAATAAAAAAATAATAAGATAACAAAGAGCAAAGGAAAAATAAAATAAACTATGATAAAAAGTAAAAAATAAACATATGTAAACCTATATACATACATACAGGTGACAATGAGAATACATACATATCACACTCGAAGATTTAGACATATATTCACTAAAAAAAAAAAAAAAAATCTTTATTATTAATAAATAATAATAATGATCTGGTTATATATGGAAAACATGAACAAACTTCTAACTTTGACTATGATAAACATTTATATTTATCAACTTTCGCACGTGTTTTGAAAGTAATGTGAAGCTCATCTGATAAACTCCTATTAAAAACATGTGTGGATTATATTTCCGTTGAATTGACACGTGTTGGACCCTTTGAACATTGTTATTGGAATACTCCACTTTGTCATAGAGTGAATGACGTAAGATTTCATAGAGTAGTAGAGTATGGATAGGATAAAGTGTCACATGTATGTTAGGCCATCTCACCACTTTAATATTGACTTGATTATATGTGAACAAAAATGGAAATCCAGTCTTTAGATCAGCTTTGAAAGAATTTTTCTGTGGATTTGTGCCACCTCCTTAAAGTTGTTCCTCTCAAGTATTTTCCGACACCAGTGCAAGGACTAAGTATAGCATTTATTAAACTTATTACAGAAACTGAACCAGGTTTTTTGAGTTACTAAAGAACTGATCAGGATTAAACAAGAATTTGGCCTCAAGAGATTCCTCTGCTTTTTCTCCGAGCAAAATTCTTGGGATATATTCCCAGGCCTTGCATGTATTCAATGTATTTGTGTGTAGCCCTAAATCACAACAGCAGTCATCTCTCCTTTACAAAGTTATCAATTTGCCAACAACAGATCAGAGAATCAAAAAGTTCGAACACAGGAAATGCAACAATAACAAAAAGCCATTGGTTTGTAGTGAGCGGGAACTGTAGACCCAGGACCGAGGCTGTAGACCCAGGACCGAGGCTGTAGACCCAGGACCGAGGCTGTAGACCCAGGACCGAGGCTGTAGACCCAGGACCGAGGCTGTAGACCCAGGACCGAGGCTGTAGACCCAGGACCGAGGCTGTAGACCCAGGACCGAGGCTGTAGACCCAGGACCGAGGCTGTAGACCCAGGACCGAGGCTGTAGACCCAGGACCCGACGAGGCTGTAGACCCAGGACCGAGGCTGTAGACCCAGGACCGAGGCTGTAGACCCAGGACCGAGGCTGTAGACCCAGGACCGAGGCTGTAGACCCAGGACCGAGGCTGTAGACCCAGGACCGAGGCTGTAGACCCAGGACCGAGGCTGTAGACCCAGGACCGAGGCTGTAGACCCAGGACCGAGGCTGTAGACCCAGGACCGAGGCTGTAGACCCAGGACCGAGGCTGTAGACCCAGGACCGAGGCTGTAGACCCAGGACCGAGGCTGTAGACCCAGGACCGAGGCTGTAGACCCAGGACCGAGGCTGTAGACCCAGGACTGAGGCTGTAGATTCTGGTATTTTTAGCCGTCTCTTGCTTTCATCTTTAAGCCTGTGACATGTGTCCGTGTGTGTATGACGTTTGTGTGTATGACATGTGTGCGTGTATGACGTGTGTGTGTGTGTGTGCGTGTATGACGTGTGTGTGTGTGTGTGTGTGTGTGTGTGTTTAGTGTGTGTGGCTCCTCCTCTGTCCGTAGCCTCTGCTGTACAGTTGTGGGCAGAGCTTTTGTCTTTCTCCTGGACGCAGACTCTGACCTGGATCTTTTCAGAGTCCTCTCTCTCTCTTTTCTCTTCACTTTTACAAACTTTGAGAGAGTAGAAAATGTCGCTCACGGTGGCAGGTAAGAACTGATCCACACCGGGGTTTCTCTCCTTTTACATTCTCTAAACTCTACAGACAGAATCAGAGCTGTTGGATTGCCTTTTGAAGCAACGGGAATCCACTAACTATGAATCAGCCTCAAGACCCTGTACAGTCTCCGACATTTCTATAACAACTTATTATTATAAACGACTTATCACTTTTACTGTTGTGTTACTTCTCATTGTTACTTACAACGTTTTGCAGTTGAAATGAAACAATGACACAGATGTTTAACAAATGTGGATCTGTCTGTTCAAGGTTAATGGGAAGGTTTTTAGTTTTTATAGAAGGATGTCAACAACTATTAGATTCAGGAGAGAGGTGTGTGTGTCTGTCTCTGTCTCCCTGTGTGTGTGTCTGTCTCTGTGTGTGTGTCGGTCTCTGTGTCTGTCTCCCTGTGTGTGTGTCTGTGTCTGTCTCCCTGTGTGTGTCTTTCTCTGTGTCTGTCTCTGTGTCTGTCTCCCTGTGTGTGTGTCTGTCTCTCTCTGTGTGTGTCTCTGTCTCTCTCTGTGTGTGTCTCTGTCTCTGTGTGTGTCTCTGTCTCTGTGTGTGTGGGTGTCTCTGTCTCTCTGTGTGTCTCTGTCTCCGTGTGTGTCTTTTCTTTGCGATGAGGACACACTTTGCTGCTCATCAGTTTGTTGTTCAATATTCTCTCCATGTCTCTTCAATGTAATAATGAATAATAAATATATAAATACTGAATGAAATACTACCTTTAAGAAACATGAATATTGAACAACATATAAAGGGGCCGATGGCACAGACTGGCTGCCTGGCTTCTGTCAGTGTGCCCCAGGGCAGCTGTGGCTACAGTATCTGAGTCAGGTTTGGTGTGTTTCAGATTTAGCGCTCGGAGTCATGACCGAGTTCCAGGAGAAGCTCCGGCAGCAGCACCAGGAATCTATGCACCAGGAGCTGCAGAAACTGGTGTCCTCTGCAGACCCCAAGGAGCAAGAGGTGAGAGACCAGAGGGGGACCGGAGGGGGACCGGAGGGGGACCGGAGGGGGACCAGAGGGGGACCAGAGGGGGACCGGAGGGGGACCGGAGGGGGACCGGAGGGGGACCGGAGGGGGACCGGAGGGGGACCGGAGGGGGGCCGGAATATATAAAATATATGAGAGAGAGAGAGACTCAGTCCCCAGACACAGGTGTGTTGGGGCCAGGGCTGGAGTTAAAATCCAATTTATTTGTGTATCGCACTAAATCACAACAGAAGTCGTCTTGAAGGATTCACCAAAGGATCAGTTCAAACACAGGAAAAACAATATTAAGACAAGATAAACTTTATTGATCTCACAATGGAGACTTGGATCCTTTGACAGACACGTCAAACTCAGGCTCGTGGGTCAAATCCGGCCCACAAAACAGTTTTTACTGGCCCCTAAAATGTTTAACTTGCGGCATGTTATTTTATTCTGAAATGTTTCCCAACACATCGTTAGAAGTTAAAAGAAGTTCAATGTTTGACTTTTATTTGCTGCAGTTTTAGTTCAATCCAAACGTTGAACACATTTAGTTTTTCAGACCAGAAAATAAAAGTGAAACTCTTGTCAAATAAAAGTCACGTCAAAATATCGTCATAAACGCTGCAAGTTTATATTAATAATAATTAATGATGTCCGGGGCCACTTCTGCATGACCTCAGAAACATATTTCTGATGAAACATGTTGTGCTGAAACCAGAGAAAGTGTGGAGTTAGTTTGAGTTGGTTTGGTCTTTGCTCGTCTGTGTTTGAGGAGTGAGGAAAGAGGTGAGTGACCGAGAGGAGAGCCTTATCTGAGTTTCAAAACTGCTCTTTCCTCTCCTTCAACATTCATTCACCTCACAGCACTGATAAATGGAGAGCAGCGGAGGCCAAACTAAAGGCCCGTTTCCACCCAGTATGACAGTGGTTTGAAAGTTACACTGTTTTTACACGTTTTTTTATTTGGACAAATGAACTGTATTTGACATGAGTTTGGATTTCATTTTATACTAGGTTTGGATTCAACCACAAACGATGCGCTTCTCCAGGGGGTAAAGTGGGTATTTGATTTATGCAGGAAGCAGAGATAGTAGAAGGGAGAGGAGAAAGAATAATTGTACACCTGTCATAACATTTCACATTTTAATGAGAAAAAGGAGTGTACATGGCACCGCCCGCCTCAGGCCAAGGTCGTGTGAAAGTGACCCCAGCACAGGAGGCTTTGTTCAAATCGACAAACCCCACAGACCCTCCCAAAACCACATTTAATATTTAATAGACACACTCACACGCACGAGATACGTGAAACTATGAAAAGATATAGGGCTAAAATGAAGTATAACGTGCCATACTATCCCATCCATTTTCTTCGTGGGTCGTGGGGGGGGGCAGTCAGAGCACCAGCCCCTCACTGATCCTCCTGCAGGTGCTGAGTCCACTGGAGCTGAGATCTTCCAGTGGGGGCTTCAGGTAAAGTGGGGTTAAGTGTCTTGCCCAAGGACACAACGACAGCAGTCATCAGTGGGAGTCGTGAAGTAGGTCTTACGGTGGGCTCGAACCCATGACCTCCAGGCTCAAAGGCAAATGCTCTACCAACTGAGCCACTGTCGCCCGCCATAGTATCCCATTACCATTAAGTGTGATAACGATAATGGAAAATCATTACAGGGGCCACTAAAAAGGGCCTGAGTTTGACCCCCCTGGTCCCGTAGGTTCTACAGGGCATCTGTGCATAATAAAGAAGCAAGACTAAATCTCTATTTAGGGTGTATTCAGACCTGAAAAGTCCTTTGCTCCGCTTGCTTGATCCGAACCAAACTTTTTTCTTTTGCTCCGGTTTGTATTCAGACTGTCCTTTTTGCAAGTGAACTTTTTTATATAAACATATTGACACGTGTGACGATCGGCGCTCCTATTGGACAGCAGAGCTCACAGAGGATAGACGCAGAACCGGCAGAAAACATTGAGGGCTCGTATGTGCAGCATGTCTGCTCTGCCTCTGTTTGCTCTTTTTAGAGCAAAACCACCTTCAACATCAACAGCAGGTCATATGACGCAGGCGAAACACGTTGTTTTAAATATTGGAACAGCGTCGGAGAATGCGTGAGGAGAAAGCCGAAGGAGACTCTCTGTGCGCTCCGTGTCCTGTCCCACACATGGATCTATGATAATAACCCTGTTCCACAACTTACTGACAGCAGCATTGTGGATAAACCATGGATCTATAATAACCACGGGACAAACAGACGCTGAGGATCATGTAGGAACCAAAGAACACAATTCACTACATGATGCGGAATATTGCTCTTTGAGACGTGAGTCAAACAGTGTCAGGCTTTTAACAATGCAAATGGTTTGAAGATGCTGCCATTAACATCAATGTATACTGGGAACAGTTTTAACTCCATAAGCCTGTTGCACAGCGTCTCCCCACTGCTCCAGGTCTGCACACGGCTCAGTGTTGTTGTGTAGCGTTAGCAGCATAGTTAGCAGCATAGTTAGCAGCATAGTTAGCAGCATAGTTAGCCGCTGCATGGCTAATTCCTCAGTTTCTGTCTGCGGTGCTTGTTAAGCCCAAAAAATGCGCACGTATCTTGGAGTTGTGTCAGATCGACACCGGATGTATACAGACCTGATTCGACTTGGACCAGAATTTGTTTGGAAGCGGACCGAGACCACCTCAAAAAGTGGGTCTCGGTTCGGTTCTTTGGTCCGGACCAGGATTCGTTTGTGTGTATTCAGACCTGCATAAAAGATTCGGATCAGAGTTCCAAACGAATCCAGGTTCGTTTTAAAGTGGAGCAAATGTGCAGGTCTGAATACACCCTTAGACTTGCTTCTAAATAGAGATTTAGAAGCAAGTCATGATATGATAAAGAAGCTAGGATAAATTACACTGATTACTAAGTCATGTATTCTGTGTCTCCACAGATTTCCAGAAAAGACCTTGATGGATTCGAGAAGTTGTTCCACAGGTTCCTTCAGGTCAAAGGCCCCGCCATCGACTGGGCCAAAATCAGCGGCCCCCCGGAGGACTCGGTGAGAACTGCATCAAAACCAGGAAACACCGTCATGAGAGAGCGAAAGACTGCATGGATCTATAATAGTAACTGGATAGAGTATTACTAGCTTATAGCAGTCACACCTATGGCCACAGGGGGCGCTGTGGTACTGCAGACTAAACTCGCGTGTGCTACACAGAAAAGTCCCGTAGAACTCAATGTAAACTAAAACAGCAGGTCCTCACCTGACAGAGAACCCGGCAGAGAACCCGGCAGAGAACCCGGCAGAGAACCCGGCAGAGAACCCGGCAGAGAACCCGGCAGAGAACCCGGCAGAGAACCCGGCAGAGAACCCGGCAGAGAACCCGGCAGAGAACCCGGCAGAGAACCCGGCAGAGAACCCGGCAGAGAACCCGGCATCCCGAACTTTTTCTTCTTAAATCCTTGGGTTTTCTTTAAATCCACACTTTAGTGCAACAAACTGCTCCTTTCCTTCCCGCTCTGATGAACAGCTCTGATTGGTCAGAGCGCGGCCGAGCCCCTCTGTGCACGTGTATGAGGGCCACACACGCATATTTAGCGCAAAGCACCATGGGAGATAATCCACTGCGCAGAACCGGGAGGACCAGACGATGCCCAAATATAGGCGAGTTCAGCTAATCTCCCGGTCTCTGTGAAGTCCCATGAACTGCTGAGCACAAGCCGTTCATTTGAATAGGACGCCATCTTGGATCACCGGGGCTTGGTCTGCGGCGAGGAAATCTGAAATACATTGAAGTTTTGGAAGACACTGAGAATCTGCAGTAACTGAGATTATTTAAATCATTGGAAGTTACCGCTGTTTGTCAGGGAGGAAAAGGCAAGTTTAATTGTATTGCACACTGGTGTCTTTCTCTCTCTCTCTCTCGTCTCACTATCTGGTGTCTTTCTCTCTCTCGTCTCACTATCTGGTGTCTCTCTCTCACTATCTGGTGTCTCTCTCTCTCTCGTCTCACTATCTGGTGTCTCTCTCTCTGGTGTCTCTCTCGCTCTCGTCTCACTATCTGGTGTCTCTCGCTCTCGTCTCACTATCTGGTGTCTCTCGCTCTCGTCTCACTATCTGGTGTCTCTCTCTCTCTCGTCTCACTATCTGGTGTCTCTCTCTCTCTCTCGTCTCACTATCTGGTGTCTCTCTCTCGTCTCACTATCTGGTGTCTCTCTCTCTCTCTCGTCTCACTATCTGGTGTCTCTCTCTCTCTCTCGTCTCACTATCTGGTGTCTCTCTCTCTCTCTCGTCTCACTATCTGGTGTCTCTCTCTCTCTCGTCTCACTATCTGGTGTCTCTCTCTCTCTCTCGTCTCACTATCTGGTGTCTCTCTCTCTCTCTCGTCTCACTATCTGGTGTCTCTCTTGCTCTCGTCTCTATCTGGTGTCTCTCTCTGATCTCTCTCTCTCTGGTCTCTCTTTTTCTGGTCTCATCATAACATTTACCTCCAAACCACTGCTTCTACTTTCTCTCTGAGTGTTGGTAATGGACTATAATGTGTGTCTGTGTCTGTGTGTGTGTGTGTGTCTGTGTCTGTGTGTGTGTGTGTGTGGGTGCACTTGTTTTCAACTCCTGGTGGGTTCCATAACCTGAGATTCCACTCACGTCATGGGGACTGGTTTTACGTGGTGGGGCCCAAACACCGGACCCCACTGGTCCAAGCTTAATAATCAATGGGTAATGCTTTTCTAACGGTCCTTATGCAGTCTCTGTAAAAATATGGAAAGGACCCCTGGAGGTTTACTTTCCTGAAAAAAGTGTGTTATGTGTCGGAACCCTGGTGGTGGATTGCGGGATATCAGGGAGGGGCACAATTTTGAGGTTTTAAAGGCCGGCATTGGAACTTTAGTCCCAGCTAAACAGCCAAATTCCCCAGTTAAATCCAGTGAGTTTTTGCACTGTATAGACTGTGGGGCATTGCTTAAGCGAAAGTCGCTGTGGAGGCATGTGGCCAGGTGCCGGCTTTCACAGAAAGATGCCCAGGCTAAACCAGGCTAAACCAGGTAGAAGTAGGGTCCAGTCCCTCTGCTCCCTAGCCCAGCCTGTACCGGAGGGCATCAGCAAAAAGCTGTGGTCTTTAATTTCGGCAATGCATCAGGATGAGGTCACGGGTGTTGTCAAAGCAGAAAAGGGGATTCTGAGACTCGGAGAGCACCTGTACTTAAAACACGGGCATGATAAGACTAAGCATGATTACATTAGGCAGAAAATGAGAGAAGTCGGTAGGTTAATTAACAAAGCAAAAACTGCAGGGAAACTGAAAACAATTAAGGATTTCTTTATTCCTTCCAACTTTAACCATGTGATTGATGCAGTCAGGTCTGTGGCTGGATATGATGAGGAAACAAATCAATACAAGACTCCATCCTTGGCCCTCAAACTCGGCCATAGCCTCAGAAAGCTAGCAGATATTCTTGAATGTGACTCAAAAATGGAGCATTGTGTTGATGAACTATTTATTAAAAACCTCCAACGAAGCCGGCTGCTTTTTGAGAAGAGGTGGGACGTCTGTGTTTCTTCTGCTGCCCTACAGACCCTCCGGCAAGCCAAGTGGAACACTCCGGACCTGCTCCCTCTGACTGAGGACGTTAGAGCCATGCATGCACATATTGAGGTATGTCGACCTGAATATGTGCAAACCCTAATAAGTGAGCCAACGTCTAAGCATTGGTCTAAACTGGCAGTTTTGACTCTTTGTGAGGTCATCATTTTCAATCGAAGAAGGGAAGGTGAGGTTTCAAAGATGCCACTGACAGCCTTTACCTTAAGAAGTAAGACTGGGATCCATTCTGACATTGCTCTGGGACTGTCCCAACTTGAGAAAAAGCTGTGTCAGCATTTTCAACGCATTGAAATTAAAGGGAAAAGAAGTCGGAAAGTGCCGGTTCTTTTGACTCCTGAAATGATTGCTTCGATGGAGGTGCTGGTGGAGAACAGAAGGGCCTGTTCCATCTCTGACCATAACCCATACTTCTTTTCCCGCCCGGGCGCAGACACCCACATCAGGGGATCAGACTCCCTACGCCAGGTAGCCAAAGAATGTGGTGCGGTGCATCCAGAGATGCTATCCTCAACCAAACTTAGAAAGCACATAGCTACTATGTCTACAGTTCTCAATATGAAAGAGAATGAGATGGACATACTAGCCAACTTCCTCGGCCATGACATTCGCATCCACAGGCAATATTACAGACTACCAGAGGGGACACTGGAGCTGGCCAAAATCAGCAAAGTGTTGATGGCCATGGAGCAGGGAAGAGTGACGGAATTCGAAGGAAAGAGCCTCGACCAGATACAAATTGAGCCTGAAGGTAATTCTTGATATTATTAAAATATGTATGATTTTTTTCCCCTAAAGGCCACTTGTATTTTTATTTTCTGTGCGACAGGGAGAGCAGTAGAGATCCTCTCACAAACGGACGGGCTAAAAGAAACTTCAAGCGGAGAACCTTCAACCATTCATCTAGATGCACCCCATGGTAGTGGCAGTGCCCCTTCTGGTAAGTGTACCAGGTGGGGGATTACAGCCAGGCTGCTTGGTCCTAACCCTGGGAGTGTATATTGCTAATATATTTTTATTTCTCTCCCTAGAACGTGTAAGAAAGCCATGGTCTGCATCTGAGGTGAAGGCTGTGGAGAAGACCATGACACCTTTCATACAGACTGGAAAGGTCCCTGGGAAGTCTCACTGCCTGGCCTGCATTAATGCCTCACCAGATGACCTTAGACATCGGACATGGAGTGGCATTAAATTCTATGTCAAAAATAGAATCACTGCAATTCGAAAAAAAATCAAAAATAAAATTCCTTTAAAAGAGTTGTTTGTTTTCTATTGACTGTTTTGTATTACTTAAAGTAGTCCCAGTAAAAAAGATTATGTCTATGGGTCCCATTCTGAACGGCCCTGTCAAAGGGACCCACCAGGTAACAAAAACGTGTATGTGTGTGTGTGTGTGTCTGTGTGTGGTGCTCAGTATAATTTTAGTTGCTGACCTTCAGTGCAGTTTATTTCTGGCTCAGTGTGTGTCACAGAAATGTCACACAAGTGTCCACTTTCAATCACAAGTTCTTATCGAAGGAAGATCAATCAGAACTAACTTTGTATTACAACAGGGCTTAAAGAGTTCTTTCTAGGTGACGGATTTTTTGTCAAATTAAATTGGTCTGATAATAATTTTTTCTTCGGCCAATATGTTCACCCGACCTCGGGTCACACGGATACAGAGATCACATTTACTTTTTACAACCAGAAAATAAAAAAATTACCAAAATGTGTCCATAAAGAACCTTGTTCGAAACAATACCTGAGAGAAAGGGTTTAGGCTGAAGTCGGAACTTATACTGACTAACCCCTAATACAATGTGAAAATACGTCCAAAGATGACAAATTATACAGATTCTCATATACTAACGACGGTAACGTGAAGCACAAAACATGAACTTCCATAAACACGAGTTATTAAGCATAGTCCAATTCAATTATCCTATACTTATCCATAATATTTGACTTATACTTTTTTTTAATATGTTTTAATAGTTCTTGAGCCCTTGGGTTGAACAGACTGTTCCATAGATCAACTCCTTTGACTGATACACATCTCCTCTTAGTGTTAGCTCTGGGTTTCTGCAGCAGATCAGTTCCTCTGAGGCTGTAAACAGTGAGGAAGCATGAAGTTGTGAGCCTTGTACAACACAGCTGCAGTGTAAACATCAACAAGATCATACAATTTTAGAATATTATGTCTAATAAATAGTGGATTTGTTGGAGCAAGGTATTCTGGCTGATCACTCTAATGGCTTTCTTTTGTAAGATAAAGATAGGTTTGATATTAGGTTTGTAGGTATTCCCCCATAATTCCACACTAGCTGAGGTATGGAAGGATGAGGGAATTGTACAGTATATATAAAGCATTTTGATTTACAGAAGTTTTACTTCTTTAGAGTGTTTATATGCACTTTCCAGTTTAATTTATGATCAATATTGATTCCTTTCAATGTCTACCTCCCCAATA